AAAGATAAATTGGGATAGCAGTGATTCTTTGTTACGAAGAAGAATCAAATCAGTATTTTGTGAAATTAAAGCCATCCTTTGGGTACTTAAAGATTTGGATTATTTTTTATTGTTAAATACACCATAAACCTTATATGAAAAGGATCTTAGGTAAGAGTGGTCTAAAACTTGGTTGGTCCAACTTATGTCTGGTTCAGTTGTTAATGCAGATAATGTCAGTAGACACCTTGTTTTTCAGATAGATTGCAAATAATGATACAAAATTTGTGCCTGCCTATCTCACCATTCCATATTATAAGAGAGAGAGAGACAGAACTTAGTGTTTAAATTACATTCAATCTCTGAGAAATTGATAATGGACTATAGTCATTTCTGTTGAAAAGTGAGTATTTTGAATGCATGATATAAATACTACATTATGAATTTAATTCATTCATGTTTGAAGATGGACCACCTTTTTGCAGTAAATAATTCCTGAAGTTTTATGTATTAGTTGTATATCAGATTAGTAGTGAAATGGGTCTTGTTAAATGCAGGATCCATATAGTACCTTGTTATAACTTAACATTTTCAAGTATGTAGACCTATGAATTTTATTAAATAATTAGAATTAGGTTTAATTGCTGCCTTCAGAATTTTGCATTGCGAACCTACTAAATGCATTGCATGACTTTTCTCAGAAAACCCCTTTTCTTATTTTTCCCCATTGTAGTAGCTATAGTAACCATTAGTTTTAATGAGATAAATAGGAATGTGATCACACATCATTAAAGAAAGGACTGGGATGGCACACAACAATTTTTGGAGACGCTTTATTGTATATTGAAGAAGTAGTTTAATCTTACTAACATTTATAAGATTCCTAGCTTTAGGATGGCGCCTAGCTTTAGAATTTAGAATGATGCTAAATTTTGAAGTGCTGTTCAAGCTTGGCATGCTCACTGTTAAGTTCTCTTTTATGTTTTCTGTGGGATAGGAGTTATACTTCAGGAGCATGTGCTGTAATTGTTGACTTCCTGTAACAGGTATTTTCTGCAAAGAAACAAAGACAGATACTTTAATCAACATTTAGTTGTTAATCTAATTTTGAAAGCATTTCAGAGCACCAAGAAACAAAATTTACATTTCAGTTGAGTGCAGTAGATCTCTTACTAGTCCTGTAACAAACCTGTTAGATCTCAAAGGGTGCTTGATGACTGGAATATTAGTAGTTAGTATGAAAAGTACCATGTCATGATCTTCACTGACAAGTTTTATTTCATTTGTCAACTATGTCTCTGTGAAATTTTCACCATTTTAACCCCTTGAGATTCTGGGCCACATCTCACTTTGCTCCTTTTTATAAAATATAGCTGTGCTATATATATATATATATATATATATATATATATATAGTGTTTTAAAGGCTGTCTTAAGCTTCTTGGGTTTTGCAAACTATTTCTAACCTAGTGAGGCAGTTACATTTTAATCACACGCTGTAATGGTACATTTCATTAGTTTCAAGGGCTCAGAAAAGTCTTTCCTGTGGAAAAAGATTCAGAAGATTTTTGCCTTTAATTCCATAACTGAATTCCACAGATTTGCCAGTAGTTCAGTGTTTTAAAACCAGTGGTATTCAGTGGCCTTGCCGAAGTTCCTACCAACACATTGTGTTTTGTTTCTTGGTTTTTAAAATTGAATATCCGATAAGGTAAAATCAAAGAATTAGTAAATAATTCTTCTAACAAAAACTTGGATTATTTACTCATATTTTTATGCTGTTTCATTTAAGTCACTTTTCAGTATTTCAAGGTTAACAAAAATATTCATAGTCGTAGATAACACGGTTTATAAATTTTGAGTTCATAAAAATGTCATATAGCCTTAAATTACACAACAGAATCCGATTCTAAGACTTTTATCATCAAAGCTAATAATTTTGTGAGACATCAAATACAGTGGAGAAATTTTAAGTTAGACTTTACGTGTAGCTGACTATGAGCAAGTCATTTAACGTGTATAAAACTACAATCTGGTTAAAAAAGGAAACAAAATTCTGTTGGTCCTTTTTCAAGGATTGTGTTCCACCATCTCTCAGAAAACCTCATTTCCTATTTCAGAGGAAATAGGTCATCACACAGGAATTAGTTTCTTCTTCCTTTATATTTATGTATCCTTGTTAGCATCCTACTTAATTCCTTTATTTCATTATTTTGTCTTACTGATTTATAACTAAAATACAGTAATAATTCTAATATTTGTTGAGCTCTTACTGTATACCAGGCATTGTTCTGTGTGTTTTCTGTATATTAACGCATTTAATCCCTTCAGCACCTCTTTAAGGAAAACACAGTCACTGTGCTCATTTTACTCATGAGGAAGCTGAGGTCTAGAGAGTCAAGTAATTTCAGAGACAAACGGCAAGAAAATACTAAATCATGGATTTGGAAGCTGATCTTACTTGGTGCATTTTTCTTAACCTTCATGCTGTATTCTAACTCTAGCCTGAGTTGTGCTTTCTTGTCCTTGCTCAAGCTTTTCTTTGCCCTCTTAACAACCAGCTGAAATGTTTTTTTGTCCACTTAGCGTATTTCTTTCTGAAGGGCCATATAGTGTAAGCTAATTAAGTAGTCAACATCTAAGATTTTTTAAACATTTTTATATTTGCATATAGTTGACACAGGGTTACACTAGTTTCAGGTGTATGGTATAGTGATTCAACTTCTCTGTTATGTCGCACTCAGAAGTGTGACTACACTCTCGTAGCACACAACACTATGATATTATCATTGATTGACTATATTCCATATGCTGTGACTTACTTATTCTATAATGGAAGCCTGTATCTCCCTCTCCCCTTCACCTGTTTTGCCTATTCTCCCCCATGCCCCTTCCTCTGGCAAGCATCAGTTTATTCTCTTTAGGTCTGATTCTGTTTTTTAGTTTATTTGTTTTGTTTTCAGACTTCACATAGGAGGGATATCATTAGGGTTGTTGTCTTTCTCTGTCTGATTTATTTCAGTTAGCATAATACCCTCTAGGTTCATCCATGTTTTTTCAAATAGCAAGATCTCCCTTTTTTATGTCTGTGTAATGTTTCTCTCTTTCTCTCTGTGTGTGTGTGTGTGTGTCTGTGTACACACATATTTTCTTTATCTGTTCATCTGTCAGTACTTAGGTTACTTGGTAGGCTATTGTAATGCCGCAGTAAACATAGAGGTGCTTATACCATTTTGAATTAGTGTTTTCATTTTCTTTGGATAGGTACCCAGTAGTGGAATTATTGGGTCATGAGGATTTTCTGTTTTTAATTTTTGAGGAACCTCTGTACTGTTTTCCACAGTGGCTTTACCAGTTTACATTCCTACTAGCAATGCATACGGGTTCCTTTTTCTCTATGTCCTTGTCAACTTTGTAATATTTCGTATTTTTTATTTTAGCCATTTTGACAGCTGTAAGGTGATAGCACATTTTGGTTTTGATTTGTATTTCCCTGATGATTAGTGATGTTAAGCATCTTTATGGGTCTGTTGGCCATCTGTATGTTGTCTTTGGAAAAATGTCCATTCAGGTCCTCTGCCCATTTTTAATCATATTGTTTTGACGTCAAGTTGTAGAAGTTCTTTATATATTCTGGATATTAAGTCTGTATTTTTTTCTGAGTTTTTATTTATTTGAGAGAGAGAGGGAGAGAGCATACAGGAGCACAATCAGGGTGAGGGGCAGAGGGAGAAGCAGAGCACTAATCAGGGAGTGCGATGCAGAGCTTGGTCCCAGGACTCCAGGATCGTGATCTGAGCCGAAGGTAGATGCTTAACCAACTGAGCCATCCAGGCATCCCTGGATATTAAATCTTTATTGGATGTATTATTTGCAAATATCTTTTTCCATTTATTGCCTTTTTTGTTTTGTTGTTGGTTTCCTTTGCTGTGCACAAGCATTTTATTTTGACGTGGTCACAATAGTTTATTTTTGCTTTTGCTTCCATTGTCTTGGAGGACTTACCTAGAAAGATGTTTTTGCCAGTGTCAGAGGTGTTACTGCCCATGTTCTCGTCTAGGACTTTTATGGTTTCGGGTCTCCCATTTAGATCCTTAACCCATTTTGAGTGTATTTTCTATAGTATTAAAAAGTAGTCCAGTTTCATTCTTTTGCATGTAAGTAGTCCAGTGTTCCCAACACTATTTTTTGAAAATACTCTTTTCTCCATTGTATATTCTTGCTTCCTATGTCATAGATTAATTGACCATGTAAGCATGGGCTTATTTCTGTGTTTTCTGTTATGTTTCATTGATCTATGATTATGTTTTTGTGTTAGTGCCCAACTGTTTTGATTACTACAGCTTTGTACTATATCTTGAAATCTGGAATTGTGATACCTCCAGCTTTATTCTTCTTTTTCAAGATGACTTTGGCTATTCTGGGTCTTCAGTGGTCCATACAAAATTCGATAATATTTGTCAACATCTGGTTTAAATTTCAACTCTGCCAGCCACTTAGTTTACTTTGCAGGCAAGTTGCTTTCTATCTTTTTAAAATGAATCCATATCTACTTCACAAAATTGTACTATAATGATTAAAGAGGGTAAGGTGTAAAGAATGTACAGCAAAGTGCCTGGCAAACTGACCTCTATACCACCTCTTGGGGTTTGAGAATTTTTCTGAGTGTTGCAGGTTGTGTGAGACTGGGGGTTTTTGATTAGTTGTTGTCATTGTTGGGTTTTGTTTGTTTTTTTGCAAGGTATCTCTAGGAGGTACCTGTCACCCTCATCTTATCATTATGCTACATGCTCAGAGTGGGTGTGTAAGACCTATTTAGGGTGCATTTTTGTTTAGGAACCATTTTTAAAGGAATTTTTTTTTTCTGGGCATGGATGGTTATTAGAGGATTTTCCTTTATGCTGTTCTTTAGTGGAGTGAAATATAGGATTTCATAAAGGAATTTGAAATGGTGCCTAAAAAGCTTACTGTGGACTGTGTCATACAGCCTATGTATTTATTTTTTTTCTTATTTTTTCCAGAAAATTTGGTGAGCGGCCTCCACCTAAACGACTCACTAGGTAAGCATTATATTAGTTTTTCACCCAAACCTTTCATGAAAATAGCAGGTTCTATTATCTTAAAAACTGTATTAGGTGCTTTTGAAAAGAAGTTATTCAAATAGTGGTATCTAGATCATAAGCTTATTCCCATCCTTCTCCACATCCTCCCTCCCTTGCCCCACTAAAAAGAGGATGATAGGATATATATAGTTCAAAGGGGAAAGTGAAACCTTTCAAGAATTAATCTTGAGTATTATATAGTTAACATAACAAGGATGACAATATAAAGATAGCTTCTTATATCTAGCCGGTCTAGCTGCATTTAGCCAGTCACAATTTATTGATTATAGGTGGCACCTGAAAGATATTTCATAAATGCTTTAGAAAAGAATTTTTTTTTTTATTTTTTTTTAAAGATTTTATTTATTTATTTGATAGATCACAAGCAGGCAGAGAGGCAGGCAGAGAGAGAGGAGGAAGCAGGCTCCCTGCTGAGCAGAGAGCCCGATGCGGGGCTCGATCCCAGGACTCCGAGATCATGACCTGAGCCGAAGGCAGCGGCTTAACCCACTGAGCCACCCAGGCGCCCCTAGAAAAGAATTTTAAAGAAAATATGATTTTACTCACTTTTAAGGAGACTATAAATATTACATTGTGTTCTAATAATGTAAATTAATTTTACAATATACATTTTAATTCCAAATGTTAGATATAAAGTATTAGTCTTGAAATGATTTTTAAATTTTTCAACAATTAGCAGTTGTAAAATAAAAAGTAGAACACTTAGTTGCACAGTTACATCGTAGATTTAATGTTAATCCTGCATTCTTACTGTCTTTCTAGAAAATTGCATGCGAATATAAGCATATGCTTATCTGTTTTATCTTTTTTTTTTTTTTTAAGTCTGGCATCATGCTCTACCATTGTTCTGGACCTTTTAACTCCACTTACTCTACATCTTCTACTTTGTTATCTTTCATGTTTCCATAGTTTTTCATTGCCTTCACACTACTCCTTATTTAATATTTTACATTGATGACCACTGGGTTGTGTCCACATTATCGTTATTATTAAAAAGCTGTTGCACACAAAGAATGATAGGGACATGCCAAAAGGACACAGAAAGGGAACCAGTTTGAAGAAGTTCCCTTTAGTCAAATCATGGCTACTTCAGTCTTCAAAATAAATAATGATAGTAATAGATAAGAACCCATAGAATAAAATACAGTTTAAAAGTCTACACTGAGTTAAAGAAATGATTCTATAGTGGAGGAGAGGAACTCTTTCTCTTATAGCAGAATTCCACCTAATAAATGTAGAGGGAATGATGGAACTAGGAAATCATACTTTGGCAACCACTACAGTGATAATTGTTTCAGGCAAAAATCGTTAGTGAATGCTTAAACTATTGGTCTAAAGTCTGGTGAGAAGCAAATATTCACTTAGACTCTACACATATCCTCACAAAGTATGTATTAATTATAAAGTAAACAATAGTAACATAACCGTGAAGAAACTTAACAGACACTACCTTAATGAAGTGATCTAAATTAACATCACTAGTAATGGACAAGTAAACATCATGTGCATCCTGAGGAGGATGACACAGTGTCACTTTTGTGATGTTCCAGCCAGAAATGCATAAGCTCAGTCTAAGCATAAGAAAATGCCACAGACAGGCACAAATGAGGGACATTCCATAAAATAAATAACATTTACTCTTCAGACTTACCAAGATCATAAAAAACAAAGACTGAGGAATAGCAGATTAATGAAGACCAAAAAGACAAGACAACTAAATTCAATTGAATTCTGGGTCAGGAAGAAGTATTTTTCTTTTTTTTTAAAGCTGGAGTTAGCAAATATTTTCCGTAATGGGCCAGATAATAAACATATTAGACTTTTTAGTCCATACTGAGGCTGTTGTGACTTCTCATCTCAGTTTTTATATCCCCAAATCAGCCATAGATAATCAATACATAAGTGAATGGTATGATTGTATTCCAGCTCAACTTAATTTACAAAAACCGGTGGCTGTCCTTATTTGTTCTGAGAGCATTAGTTTCTCAACACTGCCTTCTGTTCCGTACATAAAGGACATTTGTGGGACAGTTGGCAACATTTGAATAAAATCCATATACACAAGTATTTGTATCAGTGATAATTGCATTATGCTTATTTAAAGCGTGTCTTTCATTTTAGGAAATTAACACTGAAGTATTCTGGGTATAAGAGCTTTATGTCTACAATGAGTTCTTAATGGCTTAAAAACATAAATATGGGGGCGCCTGGGTGGCCCAGTCCTTAAGCGTCTGCCTTCAGCTCAGGTCATGATCCCAGAGTGCTGGGATCGAGCCCCGCATCAGGCTCCCTGCTCAGTGGAAAGCCTGCTTCTCCCTCTCTCACTCCTCCTGCTTGTGTTCCCTCTCTCACTGTGTCTCTCTCTGTCAAATAAATAAAACCTTAAAAAAAAAAACCATAAATATGGTAAAATATTGATGTTCAGCGAGTATGGAGGAAAGGGGACTAGGAATTCTTTGTACTATTTTTGCCACTTTTCCTATAAGTCTGAAATTACTTAAATTTTAAAGAATTTCTAGAGACGTTAAATACATGTCTGTATATATCTTGAAGAAATTCTAAGCAGAATTACTTAATTCACATGTGCAGATGTTTTGATAGTTACAATTTAATAGTAGATATTTTTATTTTATTACTAGTAGAAATAGATTGGTTTCGGAATGACTCCTAACCATAAAATATCTTTTGGTGAATAAATCACTTGCTTTTAACGGACACCTCTGTAAAAATAGCAAACAGAGTGATGATAATAAATATCATAAGGAGATTGTCCTTTCCTTTCTTCAAGTATATATAGTAATATAATTAGGTCCTGTCTACTTTATCATGATTTTTAAGTAATTTTCCCTGTTTGGAAAATTTTAGTAAGCTTTTAAGTCATCTGCTTTTGGCTAAGATGGAACAACAGGGACTGGAATTACTTTCCAAACTGAAACTGCTAAAGACCTGCACAAAATAAAAAAACAATGATTTTCAAAATCCTAGATGGCAGGCAAGAAAGGACAGTGATCCTTGAGAGACAGGAAACAAGTGAGGTGAGCTCCACAGTTGCTCCAGCCTCGTACCTAGAGAGTTTCTAGAACATTACATAGGGAGGAGGAATCCAAGTGGAGCCTGGTTAAGCACCTTGAGGTGAAGAGATGGAGCTAGGTGTCGTGGGGTTCAAGGTAGCTAGAGTTCCCAGGGCAGAGAGCTGGAGAGGAAAGAGATCCAGAGATCTGCAGAAGGTCCCCTCTCGTCTTCAGCTGAGTATTGATCAGCACATGTGTTTTGGGAAACTGCCTAAGGCTGGAAGATAAAAATCAAGTTGAAGGGGCACCTGGGTGGCTTAGTGTGGGTTAGAGCCGTGCTTTCGGCCCAGGTCATGATCCCAGGGTCCTGGGATCAAGCCCGGCATCGGGCTCTCTGCTCAGCAGGGAGCCTGCTTCTCTCTCTCTCTGCCTTCCTCTCTCTCTGCCTGCCCCTCTGCCTACCCGTGATTTCTGTCTGTATAATAAATAAATAAAATCTTTTTAAAAAAAATCAAGTTGAAGAGTTAGAGGAAAAAATTCCTGAAGCTCATACTACAAACTGCCTTTTCCCAGCAGCTAAAGTGGAAAAATATTACACTTCATGATGCATCTACTAGAGTACTACTACACAGAAGAGTTTCCCTTCAGTAGTGGTGCAAAATTTGGCCAACATTAAATGCTGCTCACCAGAGCATTTTACCCAAGAAACCTTAAAAACAAGATTGAAAGGATCGGATTTTTTCCAAGTAACTTGAATGTATACCAGAATAAAGCTCAATAATATTTCTAAGAATAGAAAAATATCAAATACTCAGAAGTAAGATTTATTGAGTCTTGACATCTAATCAAAATATACCAGTCATACAAAAAGTAGGAAAATATCTATATGAGGAGAAAACTCAATTAAAACCAAGCCAGGAGTGACATACATGATGGGAATCAAAGACATTATAACAGTTATTATATTTGTCTTCTGTATGTTCAGTATGCTAACATCAGGAGTTTGCCTGTTGTTGTTGTTGGTTTTGTTTTTTTTTTTTTTTGTGGTCCATGTAGCCTCTGCTGTAACTACTCTACTCTTGTAAGAAAGCAGCCATAGACCACATGTAAACCAATGGACATGTGTGTACACTGGAGTACAGTTTTCTGTCACAAAGAGGGGTGCATCAGATTTGGTTTATAAATTGTATTGTGATCTCTGAGCTAGAAGAAAGATTGAACAAGTTAAATAGAGGATATGGAAGATTAAAAAGGTATCTAAATCAGATTTCTAGAGATGAAAATTAAATAAGATGAAATAATACTTGATGGGGATTATTACAGGTACATGTTGCTGAAAGAAAAACTAATGAACTTGAAGACATACCAATAGAAACTAGCCAAAGTGAACATAAAGAAAAGGTCTGGGGGTAAAATAACATCGTAAGTGAGCCGTGGTTTATCTTCAAGTGGCTAACATCCAAGTAATTGGAGTCAGCAAAGGGGGAGGTATGACTAAAAGGAGAGATGAAGAAATAACAGCTGAAATTTTCCTTAATTTGGTGAAAACTGTTAAAACCATAGTTCTGAGAATTCAGTAAACCCAAGTGAAAAAACTACACTGGAACATATTGTAATCAAATTGCTTAAAGTTAGTGATAAAGAAAATGTTAAAAACAACAGAGAAAAAAGATACATATAAAGGAATTTCTCCCTTGCTAGGGAGAGGACAATGAAGCAAGAGCTTTAAAGTACTCAGAGGGGAAAAAAATGCAGCAACCTAGAATTTTAGCCCCAGGTAAGACAGAATAAAGACCTTTTTAGACATAAAAATCTAGAAAGGAGATAACAAATATTATAAATAAGTTTCTGCCAATAAATTCAACAACTTTTAAAGAAATGCACAAATTCCTTGAAACTAGCAAACTACTGAAGTTTACTCAAGAA